TGTAAGTTTATGGAGCTTTTATTTTTCATTTCATTGTATTTTCATGTAAGCACATATGGAGTTTGGATGTCCTGTATTCCTGGGAGCAAAGGAAACATCATTTTTAAACAAATACATTATAAACAAAATCAAATTAATATTCTTCAATTTCAAATGTTACACAATGCCGTAAGTTATGTATATATTTTATTTCAGAATATTACAGTGATACAAACATTTTTGTTATTATTTCAGAATATTATGGGGATACAAATGTTTTGATTACATGAATTACTTTTGTATAGTTTGAGTCAAAGTTTTAAGTGTGATCATCACCCAGATAATGTGCATCGTACCTGTTAAGTGTGAATTAACCTATCCCCTCCCCCTCCCACCCACCTATTAATTTCTGTGGAATTTTACTACCATATGTACACATGAGTATTGATCATATAGTTCCATTTTAATAGTAAATACATGTGGTGGTGGTTGTTCCATTCTTGGGATACTTCACTTAGGAGGATGGTCTCAAGTTCCATCCAGGTTGATAAAAAAGATATTAATTCACCATTTTTTTTAATGGCTGAATAATACTCTATGGTATTCATTGACCATATTTTATTAATCCACTCATGTATTGATGGGCACTTAGGTTGTTTCCACATCTTTGTGATTATGAATTGTGCTGCTATGAACATACGAGTACAAGTATCTTTTTTATAAAATGTCTGTTTTTCATTTGGGTAAATACTGAGTAGTGGACTTGCTGGATTAAATGGTAGGTCTACTTTTAGTTCTTTGAGATATCTCCATATTACTTTCCATAAGGGTTGAACTAGTTTGCAGTCCCACCAACAGTGTGTCAGTGTTCCTTTCCTTCCACATCCATGCCAGCGTCTGTTATTTGGGGACTTTCTGATAAAAGCTATTCTCACTGAAGTTAGGTGATATCTCATTGTGGTTTTGGTTTACATTTCCCTGATGATTAGAGATGTTGAGCATTTTTTCATATGTTTATTGGCCATTATTCTATCTTCTTTTGAAAAGTTTCTGTTCATGTCTTTTGCCCACTTTTTAATGGGGTTGTTTGATGTTTTCTTGCTGATTTGCTTGAGTTCTTTGTGATTCTGATTATTAGCCCTTTATTGATGTATAGCATGTGAATTTTTTCCCCATTCTGTAGCTTGTGTATTCGCCCTGTTTTTTCCTTGGCTGTGCAGAAGCTTTTTAATTTGATCAGGTCCCATTTATTTATTTTTGTTGATGCTGTGATTGCCTTTGGGGTCTTCTTCATAAATTCTTTGCCTAGGCTGATATCTAAGAATTTTTCCAAACTCTTCTTCTAGAATTCTTTCGGTTTCATGCCTCAGGTTTAAGTCTGTTATCCATTGTGAATTAATTTTTGTGCATGACAAGAGGTATTATAATTTGAAAATACTTCAAAATTTGATTTCAAACATATAATGACTGTAATTTTTAAAGCATACTCAAATTATAAAAACACATCAAACCACTAAGATGTCTTCTATAATAAGCATAGTTCATCATATATAAAAACATGAATCTTAGAAATCCCCTCAAACTACGGCCCGCGGGCCACATGCGGGTGTTTTTGCCAGTTTGTTTTTTTACTTCAAAATAAGATATGTGCAGTGTGCATAGGAATTTGTTGATAGTTTTTTTTAAACTATAGTCTGGCCTTCCAACGGTCTAAGGGCCAGTGAACTGGAACCCTGTTTAAAAAGTTTGAGGACTCCTGGCCTAGATAAATTTACCTTCCAAATCTATATAACAGCATTTTCCAAAATTTTTATTTTGCATAGTCTGAGACTATTTAAGCAATATATTAACAGATGATAAGTGGAGAAAAAAGGTGGGTGTTCAGTTCTCAAATGATTATTCTTTACTGTAGGTTTTGAGGGTCTAGTATATGTAAATTTTTACTGTGAATCAGAGAGGGTGGAAATTGAACAAAAATCTACTTTGTCACTTTCACTTATTTTCCTTTTATAAAGTACAGCATATGATATCAGAATTGAAAGAAAGTTTAGAAATTATGTGGTCCATTCCTCAACCAACGAACAGCGCTTCTACTAGCGTTGATTGATTCCTCTAAGTTGTTTCCCATTCCAAGGAAGAAAAAAGACTTTGTTTGGTTGAAACAAAATATTATTTCTGGGTGTTTTTCCTTAGATAGAGCAAAGAACTGGCAAAGAAAAATCAATTTGCTGGTGAAGAATTCTCTACAATGGATCTCTTTATCAATGGGAGACTTTCTTCTCTAGGGATATTATTCTTTATGGAATGTTTTCTTTATGGAAACAGATTATACAAATGGAGAAAAGGTATTCCTTTTGAGTCAGATGGCTTCATTTGAGTCAGTCTCGTGTTATCTGACTTCTTACAATTTTGAAGAGAGGGCTGTTTGGTTATTGTCTCAAGGATTATTCTCCTAGAAGAGTTTAAAACTTTAAGTTAAAAGGACATTTACTCAAGTTTGTTGACTAAATTAATCCATTGAGATTTCATTAATTAAGTCTTTAATCAAGACTTTTTCCATTTGGAGACCATCCATAGATGATGATTTGGCCTGGAGATGAGAGATTTTTTGGAGATCAGAGATTGTAATTTAATTTATAACCTATTAATATTTAAATGGTTATATAACTCTATTGGCATCTTTGTTTGCTTACAGAAAATACAAATTAATATTCTCATTAGACTTCCCAGTGTTCTGTTGAATATAAATTGTGTTACACAAATTTGATTCTACATAATTTTTAAAGCATTAGTAAAGAGAAAGGCATTTTCACAAGCAATATTAAACCAATACGCCACAAGCCAAATCCAACCTGCTGCCTGTTTTGTAGATAAAGTTTTATTGGAACACAGCCACACTTATTTGTGTATGCATTGTCTACAGTTGCTTTCATGCTATAGTGGCAGAGTTGTGGCAGAGTAACAGTTTGCATGTGATCCACAAAGTCTACTATATTTATTATTGGGCCCTTTACAGAAAAAGTTTGCCAGCTACTACCCCTGTATCACATTACTACTACCTAGTAATCAGAAAGAATTTTATGTAGCTTCCAAAGAGTCTGCCATCCAAGAAGTAGTCTAAATATTAGAAAGTGCATATGTTTCTATGTGTATATATCCATATATCTATATGTATGTTAAAACTTCCTTGTCATTTGGTGCTATTCATATTTAGCATACTATTTTGCTGCTATAATATCAACATGACCTTTTTTAGAAACTTCTCAGATACTCAGGTTAGCTAATATTCTATTAGTACACATATTTTTTGATGCTAGGCTGATTTTTTTGTTGTTGTTCACTTGCCTTTGGAGAAAATAAACTTATTAAACTAAGAATATTTCTTGAGGTACATACAATTTCAAAGTTATATTTTAATAGACTAATAGATAGTTATACTTGATTGTATCTCACATTCGTATCATGGAGGCATTCACCTGGTTTTTGTATATCATTCAATTTATATTAACGTATGAATATTCCTCACTTTAAATTTTGGCATAGAGTCAATTAGTCAAATTATTATTAAAATGTTACTAGTCCAAGGAACAAATTGTCTCACTTTATTGAATAGTTCATTTAAATTTGCTGGTATATTTAGAGGTCATATAGTGTAAGCTGTTTATATGTACTTTATCCAAGATTTTCTTCTTTTTGAAATGCTTTCTTCCCTTTTTATCTTATTTTAATTAACCAGTTTTAATTAACCACTTTTAATTTGTTACTAACCAGAATTATCTGATATGCAATGAGATTTTTGCAATTCAGAGGGTAATATTTAAAAATTAAAAAACATTGGCTCAGGAGAGGATACTGTAACTTCTACTTATACTGGTACATTTTCAGTCCCCTTTTCCATTATGCTATTTTAAAAATCAGGTAAGTATTAAAATACCTATTTTTAATAGGCACACTTTATCTAGATGTTTTTACTATAGTTCTGAATTTATGATATTAAGGGGGTATATATGTATATGTTTACATTTCTACCTAAACACACATTGCTTGTGAATTTACATGATAGTATTTTATTATGGATACCCACTTGAGTCCACTGAGCTTATTTTTCCCAGTATATAGGTTTATATAATAGTATATGATTGAGATTTTTTATTATATATATTTATGAGAAATGGAGTTTTCCTATATATCTCTCTTCTAATAAAAATCATCAGTATGCTTTTAAAATGCTGTTTTATGTTTGCTAGAATTTGCTAACTGAATTTAGTTCTTGTCCTAATCAAGGTTTTTAAAGACCCTTTTTGATGTGTTTTGAAGTGGTACCTGTAGAGGGCATTAACCTCATTTCATGAGAAGCTTACCATCTCACTTTCTTCCGTTCTTACATTCTAATTTTTTTTATAAAATTTATTTTAATAATACTTTGTGCCTTTACTGGCATGGTATGTTAATAGGAGTTTTATTCCAAAAGCTTCTTTCTTGATACCAGTTCTAGAAAATTCAAGTTCAAAAGTTTCTAATAACTGGATCTACATATATGCTGGGGCAAACTGCTTTAATACATAGCTTAATTTTATGATAATAATTTCTAAATACAATTCTAAAATTTTATTTGACACTGACTTACAACTTTATTACAAATAAATAAATTCAATCATGATTAATTAAAAGTCAAAGCTCTGACAATATTACCATTATCAAATTTGTATGCTGTCAAATACATTTTCCTGGACATATTATACATGTATCAGAAAGTGTTTTCAGTCTGGTGAAGATATGTTGTCTTTTCTTTAAACTTGTTTACATTTTATTCAGATTAAAATTATTTTTCATAATTAATAATCATGCTTTTATTTACCAAATTGCATATTTTAAATCTAAAAAATAATGACATTTAATTTGTACATACTACATTGAGTGAAAGTAATATATCAGCCTACCATTTCTTTTATGCATCCTGTAAGTAAGCCTCAAAAATAAGAACTGAACATTAATTTTATGGGTTTTTTTCTACTCGATAGGTGCTATGGATATAGAGGAGAGAAATCGCCAAATGAAAATTAACAAATACAAACAGGTAGCCGGATCAGATCCCAGACTGGAACAAGATTACCATTTGAAGGCAAGACATTTTTCTTTTTACAAATTGTAAAATAATCAATTAATCATATGAAACAGATTCTTTTAAACTGCTGAATGCAGATTAGTCAGACACAAACACATAATGCAATGGCCCCATGATATTATTAAATGCTAAAATTTATAATGTGTTTATATGCCAGATCTTAGAAATAGAATTTGCCTTACTTAAAAATAAAACATAATATTATATAATATTGAAGGTTAAAGATATTAAGGACAAATCTTTTAGAATTTTTCATCTTAAAAATCTCAAAGCCCCTCAAAATTGTGTAGGAAAAACTTCTATTATCTTCTTATGGCTTTCTTTCATATAGGTATTTCTCCCATTTATAGTATTTTCATTGAACCTAGTTTATTACTGAATTATTAGAACAAAATACAAATGTTCTTTGGTTTATGATGTTTCAGGTTATGTGTTTTTTACTTTAGGATAGTGCAAAAGCAGTACACATTCAGTAGAAATCATACTTCACATTTCAGCTGTTCTGTTTTTCACTTTCGGTAACATGTTCAATAAATTACATGAGCTATTCAATACTTTACTACCAAATAGGCTTTATGTTAGATGATTTCGTCCAATTGTAGACTACTGTTAAGCGTTCTGAGACTGTTTGAAGTAGGCTAGGCTAAGCGATGATGTTTGATATGTTAAGTGTATTAAATGCATTTTCGACTTAGGATATTTTCAAGTTACAATGGATTCATTGGGATGTAACTCCAATCATAAGTTGAGGAGCATCTGTACATACTCATGAGGTGTTATGAGGACTTCAAAAGGTCTTTTAGTATGAATCTTTTTGAACTACTTTTTGGGAATAAGTTGAAATATGAGTTCTACCAAAGTAGGAAGTAAAGAGTATTATTTCATTGCTCTTATCCTTCATTACCTTTATATTTTCAAGAGATTTTTAGGTTCAAGATATTATTCATGGCCAAAGTATTTTCATGAAAATACTTTGCTCTGATGTACCTATTTAAATAAAAGAGTGAAAATACCAAAATTTACTCATACCATTTAGCTACTATGTGCTCTCTTAGTCATTTAATCATTGCAATTGTAGATTTGTGGTCTCTATATTAGAGAAAAGCAATTTGGATTCTTATATACTTACGTTTATTTTATGCTTACATATTTAACCTTCATTTTCTCTCTATTATATTCCATTCCTTGGTGAAGTCAAGAACTTACTAAGTAAAGCATTAGTCACTATGTTGGGTATGAATATTTAGCAGGTAGCACCAGGTCCTAGCTTCTCCACTAATACAACCTAGAGGAAGCATGAGATTCTTATGTCAGCATCTACTTCTAAATTATAAATCTCTTCCCAAAATTACATGAAAACTGATATTATGAATGCAAGATTGTTCATCACAGAATTATGGTGTACTAGAAATGTCACAGTCTAAAACCAGAGAGAAGTAAATTTAAGACAAATAAAAATAGCCTTGGCTTTATTCAATAGGTTCTAAACATCTAGAAATTTTTCACTAAAATGAGAATATGAATAGATTCAAATAGGTACAGTAATTTCATAGAAAATAGTTCTGTGATGACATAATATTTCAGATACATCTCTAACCATTTCAGTTAGATATCAGGGTGATATCTATGTTTTTTGGGGGTTTTTTGGTATTTCTGCCTTGGGCTAAATAGATATACCCAAACTTTTGTGACATCTGTTATGCTCTAATCTCCCATCTGTTTATTTTATATAATCCAAAGGCCAAGGCATGAAGTCCTAATAAAATCAGATATTAAATTTCTATAAACATGTCTACAGTTAACACGAATTTGTTTGTTTATATTATACTGTAATTCAGGAGGGAAGGTAGTTGATTTATAAAAATACTTATAATCCTCTCAATAATATTGTCAACAAAGAAAAGAATATCAAGAGAAAACAAAGACTGGATAAAACAAGATAACTCCAAAAGTTCATCTTGTGAATAAAATGCATAGCATGGAATCCTAAATACTTGCTACATGTGGGGCATATATTTTGACCCTGAGCTTCCTAACAAGCAGCAAAGGCAGAAAGGGAAACTTAATCAGTTGTATGATTTGCATTGCTCATACAATAAAAACAAGTTCCTAGAAGCAATAGCAATGATGCTTGCTATGGATATTTGACAGAAATTTATTAGAGGAAGATAGACTAAAAGAATACTATAGGCAGGGCTAGGATATTTTTTTTCCCCAAAAAAACAAGTTTTGATTTCACTCCAATCCATGAATAAATGAATGCCTAATGCTTCAAAGTTTTATAAATTTGATACAAATTATTTTAGGATGAGAAAAAATTTAAGTCTTGGTAAAAGATTGATTATACTAAGCAATATGATTTCCTTGATATTCTCTAAGGCAATGGTTTTCAAAATATAGTCCCAGACCAGCAGTGTAAGCATCACCATCACCTGAAGTCTTTTTATAAATGCAATTCTCTGGGCCTCTTGTATATCTATGGAATCAAAACTCTGGGCTTACATCCCTGTGTTTTACAAGTATATCAGGAGATTCCTGTAAAGACAAAAGTTTGAGAACTACTGCTCTAAGGTGAACTGATTGTAAAATTTACTTTTAGGTAACTAAATGAGTTGACTTCCTCAATTAGAGTTTTAGCTAGAAGCCAGAGGTGAACGATGTCATCAAAAAATGGAGACTTTATTTTTAGAATAAATGATCTGGCACGTTTGTAAGTCCTCCCATAGTTTCTAACAAATCCTACCATTGAATATTAAATATTTATCATTCTGTTTTCTATTGCTAGGATTATGCAGCCAGATTACTCAAAAATATAATCAAATCATCAACGTGCAACTTTTTAAAAGGATCCAAAACACAACCCTATTTTGTACCACAGCAAATTATTTCCTGGTGTGGAACTGTCTTTGCTGGACCATCTATCTCCCCATCATTCTAGATTGATCTTACTCTCTTATGTGTGAAAAAGATTACAGAGGAATCTTCTTCAATCAAGGGCATATATAGATTTAAGTTATTGTTAATTTTCATGCTAATAGTTCCTTAGAATAAAATTTTTAGCATCATTCCTCTCTTTTTGATGGGGGATATTTAGCTCATATTTACATTCTTTACTTCCTTAGTTTGATAACAAGTGGCAATTATAGAGCCTGTTGTTGAGCATTGTATTTTGACATTAGATCTGATTCCTGAAAAAAATCATTTAACAGTTGAGGGAACTAAGATATAGAAAGGTTAATTGATCTACCCAAGTTCACATAGCCACTAAGTCACGGAAAATATTATTTGTAGCTAATACAGTTTTTTCAAATTTGAGACAAATGAGATGATATCCAAAGCCTCAGACATGGAGCATATGCTGTACTTCTGAGCTATATTTCTGTAATTCCAGTGAGGCTATTGTGAAGTCTTGTGTGAAATCTAATTGAGTGTTAGCCTAGCTGTTTGTTTGTTTGGTTTTTTTTAAACTATAAAGTCTACATTTTAAATGGCATTATCTCACTGAATTTTTCAAGAGTTCTGCATTGATAGCTGTAAATAATTCTTATTAAATTAAAAAAAATCTTTTTAGTAACTCACTTTGAAAACATCTATAGAGCAATACCTACTAAGTTACTGTCTTTCTAAGAATATTTTAAGTATATTAGAAAATTTGAAAGCCAAGAGTCTATTTTTAATAAGAACAACAAAAGGAATTTGCAGACGTGATTCCTAGTTAATCTGTGGATGATTTCCTAGGAGGTTTCCCTTAAAATAGAGTTTAACTATGTACTCAAGGTGCTTTTTCATTTCAATTGCACTCTTTTTATTCCAGCTTGAATGTGATTCACTATTCTATTCTTGGCAGTAATTTAAGGATCAACTTATATCTTTTTATATAAAACAAATTTTCTCTCCTCAGAAAAATATCATTTGTCTATTAAATTTAGCAAGGCAAATTCTAGTTTGGCACAGGTCAACTATCCTTCTGTGAGTTATATAATCATAAGTCATCATAATTATTAATAACTAAAATTTGAACATTGTATTTACACATGAAAATTAATATGTAGAATTTGATATTTATTTAAACTTATGTTTATTTTTTAAATTAGCTATATTTAATATTTTTAAATGTTCCCCAAAGCAATATTGTTATGAAGATTTTTTTTTAAAGAGTGAACATTTCAAGAGATAATACTATACAGTTTATTGGTGCAGCATTTATTAGAATTCACAGCTTATTTCTCTGTAGAAACAATGGTCCTGTTTAAAGAAAATTTTGTGATAATAGTCCCACATTATTATTACAAATTTCTTACTCCTATTATAGCTCTTATATCAGAATTTTCTGTTTTCTTATTTGCCTCTAAAAAATTAAGAAGCGATATAACTCATGAGTTGTCCAGATCTTTTCAACTGTAGGCCAGAAGCCTACAATAATTTTTTTAACCCATAATCTAATGGATTGAGTTAATATTCTAGGTCAGAGGACAACACAGTAAAAGAAAGGAAAAGAAAGGTTTTCCTCCATTCATTATGCATGCATGATCCTAGACACTACACCTACATCTTGTCACCTTTTTTCTCCAGGCTTCTAGTCCTTTAAGCACCCATTCATAAATCTCAAAGATGTATTAGGAGGAAAGTAATTCAATTAAGCTATTAATAGTTTATATTAAAATCTGCATAACAACACAGTTTCATTTTTTTAGAAAGCCCTATAAGTACAAATAAAACCAAAATTGATAGAATTTTTTTTTCAAAATTGATAGAATTATACTCAGTATCAATAGAAAATATTTCAAACAGTTAAAGTATATTTGGCAAGTAGATCACCTCTGTTAACTATACTGTTTCATTTTATTAGAATTTGTTCTCTTCTCAACATTGAGAAGATACTTTCAATGTTAGCCTTAAGTGTTTTACATTGACTTTCAAGACATAGGAAATGAGGATATCAGCAGAGTAAAGACAGGTTGAGGCTAGTTAGGAGTAACCATGTATGGGCTGTTGAA